CAAAAGGTTCTTCAAGCGATGCCATAGAAGAACCATTTTTGGTTCCACAAAGAACCATTCAGTCAAAGGTTCTTTAAAGAACCATCTCTTTCTTACCTTTTTATAATCTGAAGAACCTTTTTTCACCACAAAGAACCTTTTGAAAAACAGAAAGGATCTTCAGATGCTAAAGGATCTTTATGGAACCATTTAGACAAAAAGGTTCTTCTATGGCATTGTGAAGCACCTTTATTTTTAAGAGTGTAGATTGGTGTATTTAAGTGACAGCAGTGTAATATACATACTGCAGTCTGTGCTGTTAATATGAATCAAAGAACAACAGAAAGGCAGCATTAGAAAAATTAATTTAGTGGACTGTGTACTGCTCACTCAGGGGAGGAGCTAAGATAATAGGTCCAATTCTGTTGCCAGTCGTGGGCGGGGCCAGTTCCAATTTGACCACTTTGGAGTACATTCCTGAATGGCTCATTTTGAGACACCATTTCTGTTTTATGGGGAAAATAACAAATGGAATGGATGGATTTTTACCACAGTATGTGGTTGAGTACGCACACTGCAGACACATAATTACGTTCAAAAACAATATAAAAGTGTATTCTGAATAACAGATTCCCTTTAAGAAAATATTTGAGAATTTCTTTTAAGAATTGCATTGAGGAATATTATTACAAATTTCTTGGAATTTTGTAATTATCATATGATGTCTTAAACAGTGATTTCCTGTTACCAGTGGCAACTAAAAAGCCATCAGTCATGGTATAAGGTAAGTTTAAGAGGGCTTCTTGCATGATACAGGAAGTGGTAACTCCTTAGACTTCCTGTGGTTCTGTACATAAACGGAGCTCTGTAAAAACATACTTCGCCTTTGGCTTTGGTTGCACTAGATAAGATGCAAAGAATGTAATGTAAATGTACTAATGTACATTTTTGGAAAGATATAAAAATCTGCACACTGTGTCTGTCTGAAAGCTAATTTAGGCCTTCATTAAACTCATAATTTACTCAAGTCTTAGTCAAGTCTCAAGTAATTGCAATAATCAGTTAACAATGAATCTCAAAAATGTATAATATTTCTATTCAAAAGGGTGATTTCAGTTGATGTCATGCATTCATATATTTTTTTTCCAGGCAGAAAATGGTTTGATTCAACACATTACACCTTGAACAGAACAGAATGTAAGCAGATAACTCTTTTTGAGAGAGCCCATTCAAAAAGAGACCATTTTGAAGGCTCAGGAAACCGTTGCAGGTGTTTTGAGTTGATTAGCTGATTGGCATGTCACCATATTCTAATTTGTTGAGATAGTAAATTGGTGGGTTTTTGTTAAATGTGAGCCAAAATCATCACAATTAAAAGAACCACAGACTTAAACTACTTCAGTCTGTGTGCATTGAATTTATTTAATACACGAGTTTCACAATTTGAGTTGAATTACTGAAATAAATGAACTTTTCCACGACATTCTAATTTATTGAGATGCACCTGTATTAGACAAGGCTAACAGAGGCCAACCAGAATGAAACTCAATGGGCCTGTTTGACTCATGGCCCTAGAGGTCTGTGAGAAATTTGAAACAAATCAGACCCTAAGTGGCACTATCGTGTTTTACGCCTCGTATTTCACACGATATTTCACACATACAGACAATATTCATATGTTAGATCTCCTCATTCTAAACAACTTTGCATCTAGAACCACTAACTTAAATCAAACCGTTTGTTAAACATTTGACATTACGTAAAAAAGTTTCTTTTTTGAACACTTCCTAGATGGTTCATTCGGGGGGTTTTTTATACACTCACATTCTCGGATAACGCACAAATGATTTGTCAAAGAGCAAAATGGACATAAGGTTATATCTCCTCAACGCTTTATTGTGTTCAGACCAAACTGGGAGTTTTTTTATGACAACCATGCCCTGTGGTTACCTGCACAGTTTTGGCACAGTGCCACCTAGTGGTCAAGATATATGAAAAATGCCAAAATGGACCTAAGCCCAGGGACGCAGGAAGTAGGGGTGCTGAGGGGGCTGCAGCAGCCCGTTTTCACATGGTTGCAAATGCAATGCCAAGTTTGTTCATTTAAATTTATTCAGTTTTAGCATTTAATAATTTATTTGTAATGATCTCTGAAATGTAAATTGTAAGTGGGCTATAATAAACCCATGTTTATCTTTATAAACATGATTAATTTTACTTGTGATGTTTTCTATATGGGATGATAAGCCTAATCCTCATGAACACGTGACGCTATCGCGTGGTTTCAGACATGAACTATACAGAATGCGAACAAGATTAACTTTAATACAAGGAGATAATGGCGCAAAAGCGAATTTCAGATTTTTTTAAATGCCCATCCCAGCAAAAGCTTTCCAAAATCGGCATCCAAACAACACCAGCCCCAGCACGGGCACCGACGAATGTGAACCCTCCCCTCTTCACCCAACGTGGACACGCACAGCACCCCCAACCGAAAACATTTTCCCGCGCCCCTGCCTAAGCCTGTTTTTCTGTAATTCTTTGGCATATTGGCACCAAACTATGTGCATGTCATCATCACCCCTAGTTAACCAAAACACATCAATTTGGGAGCAGCGCCACCTATTGGTGAAAAGTGATAAATCATTGAATAATATTTCTAGTGATTGTATTTATGATTTTTGTTTTAGCCTTTTTGGATAAAATCATCTTAAAATGTCTATAATTGCTCAATGGTCTTTAAACGCTTGAACCCCGGTAATTGCTGCTTGCGCCTATATTTTAAAAGGAAGTTGCTAAAGGCAGGTTGATTTGTTGCTAAAAGTTGCTAAATTACATTGAAATGTCAATGTGCGATGATGTCTTTATGAAACAAAAACATAAACTTTTGTCATTGCTTATAATACACAATGAGATTACCCAAAGTGGCTTGCCATCTCAGCGAAAAATGAGATTTGAAATATGTTAATTTAGATTTGTTCATAAAACAATTATAGGTACAAGTTACAAACAAAGTGTATCATAAATTAGTATTGAACAATTGCAACTAGCAGCGTAATTCACACATTTTGCGTGTAGTGCTAGGCACATCTCTCCAACTCTTTCCAGGCTGATGTGCTTGGCTGGCAAGCTGTTCAATGATTTCCTCTTTTTGTGTAATTTAGAGGTAAAATGTGCCTTTTTATCATTTGAGTCACTTTTTAAAAGTTGATAAAAGTTGTCAAATTAAATGTCACTGTGACAGGTAAGATACATTATCTGTAGATTCCCTGGTAAAATGCATTCAGACATTTTGTTGAATATAAATATTTAAATACTTTATTATATTCACTAGATAAGAATGAAGATGAGGTGTCACGCAATCAAAGCAACGCACGTAAGAGCATGAACATTACAATTCATGACATTACTGGGAACATTTTGCTTGGACAAATGCATCTTCATATGTTGATATGAACCTATGATATTGACAACTATAAAATATAATTTTATTAATTTCTTTCAATATGTGATCTAAATTCAGGTGCAAAGGATGATCTTAAGTGGCTATGGCCATATGTGTTCATCTGCAGTGGAGTGGGGCTGGTCTTCATAGTTATGACTGTATCATTTCTTTATGTCATTAGACACCAAGGTGAGTGATTTGAGTGTTTAAACTAAACATCACAGTTGCTTTAAAATCATACTAGTTTTGTGTTTCCTTGGATAATCCTATGAAATATTTTAGGAAGAAAATCTACAAGAAAAGATAAGGCCAATACAAATCAGGTATATTTTGTTTTAAATATATCTGTGGAACTGTTTATTGTATGTTGAAAAATACATTTTAAAATGCTCTGTTTTCACCTCCACAGTACATGGATACACAAAAAAATGACCTGCTTCTTCCTCCCCATCTCTGTCTGAACTCAGACCTGCTGACATCTGTTGTATACCGTGTTTAAGAAACTACACTGTCAGAAATAAAGTACAAAGCTGTCACCACTCTTAAAAATAAAGATGCTTCACGATGCCATAGAAGAACCTTATTGTCTAAATGGTTCCATAAAGAACCTTTAACATCTGAAGAACCTTTCTGTTTCACAAAAGGTTCTTTGTGACATAGTAAGGTTCTTCAGATTACAAAAAGGTAAGAAAGAAATGGTTCTTTAAAAAACCTTTGACTGAATGGTTCTTTGTGGAACCAAAAATGGTTCTTCTATGGCATCGCTTGAAGAACCTTTTGAAGCACCGGGGTGGTGCCCTAAGATACAAAAGCTAAAATGCACATCTTTTTACCCTATTTACCCCTAAATGGTACATATACTTTAAAGGTACGCATTAGTACTTTAAACATAATTAGTGCCTTCATAAAGGGTATTGCTCTAGTAACATTTTTTTGTACCAGTATATCTATGATATGCCAGAGCAACATCAGAAGAACAGAATATTAATTTGCTTCTGAATCTTTTCTTTTTTTGCCATTCAGTTGTTAAAATACTCATTAGTCTAATAAATGATTAAGTGATGAGAATACTTAAGAAATTCAGTTCATATATATTGCAGTTAATATTGCTTTGAAGTAGTAATATGACCAGCTGTGGAAAATATTACTCCATAATTGCTTCAGAAATGTTGTGTTGTTGTATTTGTAAATCGCTGATTGTTAATAACATTTTTCTTTAATAAATTCCTCATAAAACATCAAGAAAAGACATTTTGCCTGCACAAACACAATATATACTACCCTTTTTTTGCTTTTAGATCGATAAGATATTTAGAAAAACACACCATCTACGAAAACATACAGCATATATAATGGGATAGATTGGCAAACCAATGTGTTCAGAAAGAGATATGTATTAAGATATGTAACTGATAAATTTAAGGAATTATTAGTTAAATATCTTTCTAATTTTAACATGTTATGACATTTGCTGTAGACCTGGTAAGTTTTATTATTATTATTAATAGTATTATTATTATGAGTGGGTGGATGGAAACACACATACCCCTGACTCACCTTATGTTTATTATCTTTTATTAACAATATCTTTTTCATCTTATGCCCGACAATATCACAAAATTTGATTAACAAAGATCATGTTTCCTTTATTATTTGAGAGGTTTCAGAGAACTTCATATAAAACACAAAGAGCTGAGTAGGGGAATGGAAATACCTCATTTCAGAACGACACATGTTTTAAGCTATGAGTGTAATTCCCTCTAGAGGGAAAATGTTTGCAATAATTGAATCACTTTAATCCAAACATCAAGACAATAACTTGGCACCAAAGGCCAAATAGGTGCTCATGTCTAAAGTGTTTCCCCTGATAAAACTTTGTTATTTTTATTACACACATCAAAACATCAGTAAAGCTAACAATACAATTTTTTTCTGGCTATTGACTTCTCTATGGTTACAGAATGTCAGCTTTCAGATAATATAAGTCTGCTTAGATGTAGGTTACTTTAACGAGTATGATTCACTAGAGTTCGGCTAAAAAAATGCTTCACTAAAATATACCGTCTAGAATAAATTAGGCATTTAGTGTTGAAAGTGTTGCAATTCAATTTTTGTTTTTATACTGTTACACTGAATATCAGTTATATTAGAAGACGTTGACTCAGATTCGTCTGTGATTCAGACAGAGGGAACACCGTTGTTTGGTCAGGGAGAACATCTGAACACAGCAGCATTTCCTTTCATTTCAGGCAGCCTGAAGAAAGGAAAAGGAAAAAGAAATGTGTTAACGTCCTAGAATTACAAAGCAAAAGCCTTCTTCAACAACAAAAAGTGTTCAATCTAATCCTACAACTCCTGCAGCTAATGTTTTACTTAATGTTCTCCATCTTGAGTTGATACAAGGCTGGGTTGAATGGTGAACAATGTTCCTTTATTATTCCAGTTGAGGATTTGTCCTGTCTCTCATGAGATTACATCAATACTGAAACAGAATGAAAAATAAACTATGTTTACAGCTTAACGATGCTGCCTGGGTCATTCCTACTTTGTGGTACATCGTCATGTCTCCATCAAATAACTAACTCTTACAATAATGGGTAACATGGAAGTTAGTTAGTCTTTTATCATAATAGCACATACTTTTAAAACATGATGGTGAATTTAATCAGTTTGCTCAAGAAGATGTGACCATTTCCCCATGTCCCCATGGTGCTTCCAATATGAAAATCTGGATTTTTAACAAATATTCCTTGTGTTTATTTCCCTCCATCTCTCTATGAAAATATTATTTAAAAAAAAATAATAATTGTATTCAGCATTATATACCGCATAAACATGGGCAAGTCTATTTATAGAGTATAATTCTGGTCTGTTATACAATTAAAATATTTATTTAAAGCATTTACATTTTTCTAAATGTTACAGAGGTCAAAATATGCTGAATAATAAGATCAATTTACCCCTTTCTCTCTGTTTAGACAAACTAGTAAATTCTCAACTAAACAAGTTACTACAAATAGTCCAACTCAAACCGACTGAGCCAGAGGTTTACCGCTCACATGCAGAGCAGTGTTTTGACAAACACCACAGAGCCACAATGTTTCCACTGCTCAGAGAATATATGACAAGCTCTGCAAAATACACTAAGATAAGAAAAGGTTTTAGATTCCAATACTGGAAAAAAAAATTTTTATCAAATAAATAATGCCCCTAGTGAGCAAGTCAAAGGTGACAGTGGCAAGGAAAAGCTCAACAAATATGTTTACATAAAGAGGGAGAAAAATCATGGGAGGAAACAGGCTTGAATGGGGGAGCTCATCCTCCTCTGGAAACTTCAGACAAATGTGACACTCAACATTTAAGGAACAGCTACACAGTTTCGATACCCCTTTCTCTCTGTTTAGACAAACTAGTAAATTCTCAACTAAACAAGTTACTACAAATAGTCCAACTCAAACCGACTGAGCCAGAGGTTTACCGCTCACATGCAGAGCAGTGTTTTGACAAACACCACAGAGCCACAATGTTTCCACTGCTCAGAGAATATACGACAAGCTCTGCAAAATACACTAAGATAAGAAAAGGTTTTAGATTCCAATACTGGAAAAAAAATTTAATCAAATAAATAATGCCCCTAGTGAGCAAGTCAAAGGTGACAGTGGCAAGGAAAAGCTCAACAAATATGTTTACATAAAGAGGGAGAAAAATCATGGGAGGAAACAGGCTTGAATGGGGGAGCTCATCCTCCTCTGGAAACTTCAGACAAATGTGACACTCAACATTTAAGGAACAGCTACACAGTTTCGAGCCAAATGGAATGTAGCATTCATTTCTAAGGGGCCAAAGGGTTTAAAAGTCAATATTAACATTTAAATTCTTTCTTCAAGCACATTACATGTCTTATTGTGAATGATTCATCAGAGCTTGTTATTGCAAAGAAAAAGTTTTTCTTTATAATCTTTAGAATCTCAAAATACAACAGTCAAATAGCTCTGTAGACATCACTCTCACTCCATTCTGTATTAAACATTGAACATTTTTCATGATTTAATCAAGTCCTAATGTGTTACAGAGGTCAAAATATGCTGAATAATAAGATCAATTTACCCCTTTCTCTCTGTTTAGACAAACTAGTAAATTCTCAACTAAACAAGTTACTACAAATAGTCCAACTCAAACCGACTGAGCCAGAGGTTTACCGCTCACATGCAGAGCAGTGTTTTGACAAACACCACAGAGCCACAATGTTTCCACTGCTCAGAGAATATACGACAAGCTCTGCAAAATACACTAAGATAAGAAAAGGTTTTAGATTCCAATACTGGAAAAAAAATTTAATCAAATAAATAATGCCCCTAGTGAGCAAGTCAAAGGTGACAGTGGCAAGGAAAAGCTCAACAAATATGTTTACATAAAGAGGGAGAAAAATCATGGGAGGAAACAGGCTTGAATGGGGGAGCTCATCCTCCTCTGGAAACTTCAGACAAATGTGACACTCAACATTTAAGGAACAGCTACACAGTTTCGAGCCAAATGGAATGTAGCATTCATTTCTAAGGGGCCAAAGGGTTTAAAAGTCAATATTAACATTTAAATTATTTCTTCAAGCACATTACATGTTATTGCAAAGAAAAAGTTTTTCTTTATAATTTTTAGAATCTCAAAATACAACAGTCAAATAGCTCTGTAGACATCACTCTCACTCCATTCTGTATTAAACATTGAACATTTTTCATGATTTAATCAAGTCCTAATGAATAAAATAATGTCCCTTCCCATTTTTTTCTTGTTCCCATTTATTTCCCGTTTCACTCATAAATAAATCCCATCATAGAAGTAAAATGAGTTGTAAGCGCAATTCACATTGACTCTGTGTTTGTCACACTTTTTTTTTTAAATGTTCCTTGACTCTTTAAGAAGCACTTTAGATATTAAACGGTCATGGTAAGATGGGCTTCTTGCAAGAGACAGGAAGTGGTAACACCTTAGACTTCTTGTGGCTCAGCACATAAGCGGGGCTCTGTAAAAACATACCCCACCCTTGGCTATGGTTTCACTATAATCTTTGCTACTATACTTTTTTTTTTTTTAATCTGACAACAAAACATATTTTAGTGCAACTTTCTGAAGCAATAAGGTTCAAACCAGAAATCACAACTGAGCAGAAGAAATTTAGGACCACTTCACTGATTAGAAGTCATGTGTTTAGTGCAGTAAAGAGCAATAAGAGGACGACTCAATGAACACAACGTGAACAGAATGATTTGACTTCCCGTATGTGTGGCCTGAGGCACTTTTTTTTTTCACTTCCCGAGGCCTCTTGTGCCGATCTAGCTGCCTTGGTTTAAACAAATATGAAATGCTTTTTTCCTTTTTTGACCCTCTCGGGTGACCTGCAGATTCTAAGGGAGGAAAGTGGAAGAGAATGAAGCAGGAAGAAAGACTTGAATAAAGAAGACAGATTGTGTGAAGTGAGAGGTTAGTGAGTCATTCTGGTGTCTCCCTCTCGATTTCCAGCTATACATTTCTCCAGTAGCTGTTTCTATCAACTCCTCTCTAAAAGGTTTCTGGGGTATTTAATTACAATAGTGCAGTCTTTAACTTTAGGGTGAAACACAATATATCACATCTAAACCTAAATCACATCTAAAAATCTAAATGTATAAAGTATTTACATATTATATAATATTATTATAGGTATATTTTACTATTTGCATAATAATATTTTACTATTTCTATATGGAAATGGAATATGACATATGGCCTATCAAGAGTGATACTGCCATATACATTGCATATAAAACAATATATAATTTTTTGTACACATGCACAGGGTGGATGAGGAAGTTTATAACAAATATAAAATCCCCATAGCAAAATTTGTATATGTACATATGTTAATAATATCTATATGATTATTTTTACATTATATGCAACTTCATTAAAACAACATATGGGAATCTGTATATTTATATATGTTTGTGTAATTTTTTTTTTTAAATGCATGTGTATCTTTTATATTTACTTATATAATATCAACATGTATTGATGGGTTTTAGGATTACATGATATATGATCAAATGTATTACACAGACTAGATATGTTAATATATGAAATTGTTCAAATTTCTAATAGGTTAATATGTCTTACTACATATGACAATATATTTCATACGTGGAAATTGAATGTATGTACACATTTTACATTTGTGCATGGGTTATATAGATATGTTTTAACGTGGTGACCTGACATACTTCTATCCCCAACAATAAATTAAAAGCTTGGCTTTACTTCCAGCACAGTAATGCGCCTGTGATCATCAAATTTCAAAACTATATTTACTACATGTATTATTATTTATTACATTCACATTTATTTAGAACTTGTTGTTTCAGTTAGTGTCAAAAGCCGAGAGTTTAAAAATCAAATATTTACAGTATTTACCCCAAGTGAACCCTTTCTTCTTCCTGTGCTTTTTCTTGCATACAAACTTCTACATGCTTTCATGTGTACACCCTTATACTGAAAACTTATTATAAGCATGGATCCGACAGCCTTTATTTTACATTTATATAATAAATTTAATAAATACTTTGTAAATTATTATAAAAACTGAACATGCCCTGGGATTAAGCATTATATTAATGTGAAACACAATATTAAAGTGGACAGACATTTTGTGGTGCTACTGACCATATCAGCAGGTGAAGTTAGCACCTCTTCAGGCAGATACACAGACATATGAGCAGCACAAGGGCCACACAGCTGGCTGAAATGGGAATGACATGAAAGTTCCTATCTGCAATATATAAAAAAACACACATATTAACTAAAAAAAAATCTAATATTAACGACAGTCTAGAAACAAAACCATCAAGGCATAACAGGAGAAAAAAGGTCAAGTTGAGTACGTTTCACTCACATTTATTCAGAGACACATAGATTGCAGACTCAAGGCCTTGGTGACGAACTTCACACTTCACAAGTTCATCGTCCAGTAGCTCAGCCTGCATTTGAATGGAACTGACCACCATTGTGGTGCCGTCCCCTAGCTGGTAAAATGATGTGACAGCAGGGCCCAGTGTTTGATTATGACCCTCCACGTTCCAGGAGATCTCTGCTGCAGGACGTGACACGGCTGAGCAGTTCGCCTCAACAATGTCCTCTGATACGGTGACGTAACTGGCCTCAGGTTTGGGTAGGACTAGGAAAATGACATGAAGTTCATTATGTAATTACTGTATATAAGACATTAACATTATGTTCTTTTTAACAGAGTGAAGATTTTTTAAATATGACTGTAAATCAGTTAAGCACTTCACTTGAATTAATTTCATGATATGACACTTACATAATTACATTAATCACATATCAGTATATTTACTGGGAAAAGCCCCCAAATCAACGTAACTAAAAGACACTGAAACACTGAATCGACATTATAAAAGGTGAAATATCTTGAATATAAAAGCTTGAGTATAATTAAGCAAATGTGGGCTAGGGTGAATGACACCCACATATTTTCTGTACTTATGAATAAAATTAATGTTAACTTAAAATAGAATAAATATACAGTATTATTCATTTATTTGTTTAGTTTAGGAACCTATGCTCACTATTAACTAGGTGCTTATTAGCATGCCTATTATTACCATATTGGCTCTTTATTAGTACTTATAAAGCACATATCAATGCCTTATTCTGCATGACCATATTCTAGATCCCTTAATCTTAATAAGCGGCAAATTAGGAGTTTACTGAGGCAAAAGTCATAGTTAATATTTAGTTAATAGTGCGAATTGGTCCTAATAAAGTGTAACCAAATTATATATATATATTTCAACTAGCTGCCAAAGCAACATTTCTCATTTTTCAATTAGTTGATGTACTGAAATAACTCAAATGAAAACTGAAATAAAATGAACAAAAACTATATAGACATAAAAAACTAATAAAAATGACAAAAACACACAACAAAATTGTGTTTTATTAAACTTTAACTAACATAAAGCAGCACAACTTCAGAAAATATAAAAATATACAAAAACTAAAAATATTAATAAATACTATAATATTATCTTAATGATACTAAACTAGCACTTATAATTTCAACTTGGCCTACTGACAAGTGAGGACCATATCTATCTTTTAATTTGTTTTTGTTCCATATCAAAGTACATTTTTATTTTGCACATGCATTCGAACCTTTATTATCTGCTAATTCCACCAGTAATTGCAGCAAATTACATTGAATTTACAGTCCTAATTTTAACATTTTACTTCCTTTTTAAATCTTTAGACATAAAATCCATAGACATATATTGTGTACTTTTGGTTGCTGAGATAATGTTCAACTGGGAACCCTCACAACAGTCTAAAGTGTGCCAAATATGTGAACTTTGTATATGTCCACTACAAATACTGTACTGGTCATGTAGAACTTTTCTTTGTTGTATTGTAAGTGGTAGCTTCATTCAAAAGACAAAAGAAGGCACTTGTGTTGTTATGCTGATTACAAGCCATCAGACGTTGGTCATGTCTGCGGCAGACTCCATCAAAGAGGGACTCTGTGACATAAGTCAGATAAAAGAGAAAGAGACAAACCATGACAAGACGAGGGGAGACTGAATCTCTGTCCACTTTTGTGACTGTGTGAGCTTTCTGGTGACAACAGCCAGACTGTTTGGGGAATATCAACAGAGGGAAAGCAAACACAATGGAGCTCTGTTCTAGAGGATCAGAAACGCAGCAATCGCACTGGCCCTCATCCCATTATATCCCCTAAACTACAGTCACAGACAAGCATTATAACCAGTGTCAGCTTTGACTGATGGTGAACTTCCTCCCCAAGAAGAATTTACCTTGAAATGAAAGGGATGTTTTCAACAGAGCAAAAAATATTGATGCTAATATCACCATTGCAAAACAGTTGCATGAGATAAAGAATATAGCACATGTTGTTATCTCTCTGTAATTTATAGCGATACTGCACCGAAACTACACTGAAACAGGAAATGCCACAGCAATAGATATTGCTGTAGAAATATAAGTGTATTTTCAGAGTGAACAAGGAAGAAATCCATCAAATTAAACTAACAGTTTACCCAAAAAATTAAATGCTGTCATTTACCCAATAGTACAATAAAAAGCAAAAATGTCAACAATTCTGTGTTTTTCTGTCAATATGGGGTGCTGTGTGTACATTAATGAGGAAAAAAAATTAACTTAAATGATTTTAGCAAATGGCTGCAATATAGCAAAGAGTGAAAAATTTAAGGGGGTCTGAATACTTTCCGTACCCACTGTATGTCAGGGGTTGCGAATGTCGGTCATGGAGAGCCGCAGCCCTGCAGAGTTTTGCTTCAACCCTAATCAAACACACCTGAACAAGCTAATCAAGGTCTGAAGGGTTACTAGAAAGCTAACGGCAGGGGAGTTTTAATTAGGGTTGGAGCTGTACTCTGCAGGACTGCGGCTCTCCAGGACCGGAGTTCGCCACCGCTGATATATGTGGTCTATATGACTTCTGTCCTAGTTCTCTTTAGCGCTCTCAGTTATTGACTCAATTCAGTCACAGGGGTTCTGAAGTTATTTGGTTAGTTTGTCACACATAGTTATCATATGGCTTCTGAAGATTTGCAATATAGTAGTAGGAGTATGAGTAGTACTTTTATAATACTTTTATACATGCTTTTTGAAGCTTGAATGTCAGTCTCTATTCATTGCAATTACATGGGAAAAAGCAACCAACACAGTCTTCAGAATTTCTATTTTAATATTAAATTGAAGAAAGAAAGTCAAGTGGATTTGGAAAAAAAACCTTAAGGGTAAATAAATTACATTCTTTTAATTTTAATTTTTTTTTTTGGGGGGGGGGGGGAATTATTGTGTGTGAGGGGGCGGGTGGGGGGCAAATTATTCCCTTAATTCTATTTTTGAGGTGTTTGTATATTTTTACAAACACAGACACACACAAATACTTTATCCCTCTCTTCCTCACCTCTCACTGCGACTTTCCCTGTTACAAATACACCCACTCAGACATATATTTAAAGAACTTTGCATGACCTGGAAGACAGACAAAGGGGCTGTAAAATACCCAAACAACACTTACGGAAAATGCACACTGATTTGCCATTTGTTCACATATCGTTATTTGAATTCAAAAATTAAACAACTCAATTCAAGCCATTTTATGAATTGCATTTTCAATTTCAAGATTCAGTAATATATCACACCTGAACCAGATAATCAAGGTTTTGGGCTTTATTAAAAACTCTGACAGCTGTGTTGGAGCATCCCTAATTTTTTGCCAAACATTTTAGAGACCATTCAAATACACAGCCTTCATTTTGAAGCAAATAAACGTCTATAAGCTCTGCCATTTGAACTTACCATAAACAGACAGACAA